CCCCGGCCCGAACCCCCGTGGGGGCGGGGGCCGTCGGGGCGGCCCGGCCTCCCCCCTGCCCTCCCTTCCCCCGGCGCCCGCGGGGAGGATGATGATGGTGCAGCCGCCCGCAGCCCCCGAGGCTGGCCGGGGCCGCCCTCCGCAGGGGCTGAGGGGATGAGCCGTGCCCCGCCGGGGGGTCGCTAGCGGAAGGATGACCACTCCCGCCCTGCTGCCGCTCTCCGGGCGGAGGCTGCCCCCGCTGAACCTGGGGGCCTCCGCCTTCCCGCACCACAGGGCTACCTTGAGACTCTCCGAAAAATTTATCCTGCTCCTTATTCTTAGTGCCTTCATCACCCTGTGCTTCGGGGCGTTCTTCTTCCTCCCCGACTCCTCGAAGCATAAGCGCTTTGACCTGGGCTTGGAGGATGTGCTCATTCCCCACGTGGACACCAGCAAAGGGGGCAAGAACCTCGGCGGCTTCCTTATCCACGGGCAAGGGCACGACGAGCACCGGCACAGGTGGGTGCCTCGCTCGCCGGCAAGGGAGCGGGACTGGGTGACAGGGAGATCCCTTGAATTAGGTCCTTCCCGCACTGCTGTCCCTCCTCTCACCGACATCCTCGTGTCTCCCCGACGTGTATCAACTTCTGAGCGCTAGCCTTGTGTCCTCCAGCTGCCATATGTAGCTGTGGCTCCATGTTGCCTTCCCCAGTGTGAATTTAGCCTTCTGGCGAGTGAGAGCTGGGAGGGCAAATACGAGGTGTCCTCCAGCGACTGATTTATTTTCTCACCCTAGCCAGTTCCATGCATCAGCCATGGAAAGAAGGGGGTTAAGTTATGGTATTTGTGGAGACAGCGTAAGTGACTGAAAAACTGCCGCATCTCTTCTGTAGCTATTATGTGCTTACTCAAAACAGCTGCTTGTTGCTGAATAGTGCACAAGAACTTTGATCTGAAAAAGACTTCATGCTGTGATCCAGAGGCTGTCAGCCTATGACGTGCAGGGCACAGAACTAGTGCAGATGGCACAATTGCCTTTTTCTGGCCCTTAAAATCACTTGCTCTAATGTTAATCCAGACGACTGAAGGTGCCGATGGCTGAGTTTCCTTAATTGTATTTGCCAGCATAAAGAAATCACAGATAAAATATAAAATAAGAGTATCAAGGGTAGATATGCTGTATCAACAGCTTTTTGGGGCCACCTAAAGCTTTGTGTGGTGCAAGCCTCTAAATGTTCAGGACTGGATCATGTGAAGTTAAGCATTGATAACAGAGGTAAAAAAACCTTGAAAAATGATTACACAGTATATTTGCTTCTAACATACTTCAGTTGCCTAAATCCTACCCTGCTGCCTGGTTCTTAATGAAGCTGACAGATCTCTCTTCGCTGTCAGAGATGTGTTAAAATATGATGATGGGTGATAAAATACCTGCATTTCCATACTCAAATTAGTAATACAGGGAATTTTAAAGAAAGGTTACTTAGGCTGATAGTGTTCCTTTGAAAACATCTTCAAATGTATCTTACTGGCATAAGAATTATTTAAAGGTTATTGGTATGAGATTAAAAGGAGTTGGTTTAATCTACTTCTTTTTATTTTTCTGTTATGAGTTATAAAGAATACTTGAATACTACGGTATTTTTCCTTAAGGCATCCTCGCTGTTGGATGTCTTGGGGCACTCAACATGAGCCCTTTCTCCCTATCTGAAAAGGCATGGGTACTTAATATTCAGCAAGGACTTATTTTGTCTATGATGTTAATTGCTGGTGTGGTTAAACGCTGTATTAAACATAGGTTTAGACAGTGTCTAATATGCCTTTGAAGTTCTTGTCTCTCACTGTGTGTGTTTATTTTTTTTTTGTGTATGTGTGATCTTATTTCTTAGCTTCCTCAGTCCCTGTGGCACATGCAGTCAAATCAGTTTCTAAAATATAGGGCAGATGAAACAAAAACAAGAGTTCAGAAATGTTCAGAACTCCAACTGTGGCTGTTGTACCTTGTGTTGCCCAGTAGATGGGCTGTAGAAAAAAGGAGTCTGTTGATAGTGATAGTTCATATGAATCCTTTCCAGGTTCCCTCTTTTAGTTACTGAGGCCACAGTTTTAGGAATGAAGTACATACTTTTTTGTGTGTCACATGTAGATAAGCAGTAGCTTACAACTGTCAGAGCTAAATGCATTTTGGTTGTTTGGGACCCATTCTTAAACAAGGTGGTTATCCTGGTTATCAGTTAGCTGTGCTGTGGTTCCTGTATTGCTATGACACCTCGCACCTGCCCTCCATCCAAAATTTCCCTGTCACGTTCATTTTTTGAGCTGTTATTTGAGCAGGAATAGTTATTATTCCTGTTGTTTTAGCTTTGCAAACCAGGCATATCTTAACTACTCAAAATGCCTGCCTGCTTAACCTGCTTGTAAGACCCCTGTGTGAATGTCACAATATTCATTGTGAAGCAAGGGTATGTGCTTTACTTTTGAAGCAACTTCTTTGGCTGATTACCACAGTTTTACCAATGGGCTATTTGCCGTCAGCTTGGGGCTGCTGTGGTTGTTTACCATAATGGAAAATACATGCTGCCATTTTCCTCACTGAGTTCTTGTTCCTGGATTGCAGGGACATTGACAGATGGTATTTTGAGAAAGTGTAGGATCTTCAGTGGTGAGCTCTAGATTACTTATTGTCTCAGTTTGGGACGGAAAAATTTGTTCTGCTTACTATCAAGGGGCAAAATCAAGTATCAGCTACTTTGTAAGTGTTGTTTTTTGGGTGAGGCAGAGGAGTTACGGTACAAAAGGTCGAGAGAAATTAACGTAATCCTAATATATGAAGGAGGATGTAGTCTAAGATGTGAGATGTGAGGATGGATTGACAAGCTGTATTTCGAGAAATTGAGGGGCTTCAGAACTAATTGGATCAAAGGTCATTCATATGTAGTATAGACTTGATTATGAAATGACAGATGATTTGATTTAGTCACTAAAAAGGAAAGTGTTTCTTCTGTGAATGCTGGTATTGATGTCTATCAAATGATAAAACACACATCTTATTATACTGCTCCCTTGGTATATAGGCTGTAATATTTTAATGCTCATTTTGCCTTACTCAAATCTTGTAGGCTACTGGAAAATATTTCTATTTCTGTCTTCTAGAAAAATGCAGTGGTGTAGGTAGAAAATCATTGTAACAACCATACTTTAGTGTTGGGTGTGCAAACAATGATTCCCCCTGGACTTTCTCTGTATTCCTTGCATTGCTTTCCCACCTCTTCCCCTGGGCACCCTTGACATTCTTGAGTGCTTTTATTTTTATTGTTACAGTGGTTACCCCTTGCTGACATTAACTTTACATCTT